TTAAGAGGCAGTCTCTGTAAAAGCGGTCCGATGAATTTCGGCTCAGAAATAGTTTTCCCTCAAATTTCTACCATGAATTGCCCTATCATAGTAAGTAATGAAAATCGACTTTGTTTTTCAAAATTCGTTAAATTAATTTTTTTTCAGCCTATTTTTACAGGTCCACCGTCTTCGCTAAATTTTCATTTTTTCACGATAGGAAATCGAACATTTTCAGAACAGCATAACTCACAAAATATAGAACGCAGGCCCTAAATATTTTTAGCCATTCTTTTAGATGTATCTGTGCACTAAATAGTAGCAAAATTTTGAATATCAAATATAAGGGGAAAATAATAGACTATACGAAGCGAACCCCATTATTCGTCTTTTTGAAATCACGGCGAAGTATACTTTACAAAGTAGCTTTTATCTGCCAAGTCCAACACAGTTTGCTTAAAATTTTTAATGAATTCTACTAACCTAAGGTTGGTTAACAAGAACCGATAAAAACATTTTGCGCTTTTGAGCTATATTCTGTACAGCAGGCGCGTAGTTTTCGTGTTTTTCAGTAACTTGCCGTTAAAATATGCAAATTAGGCACCCCAAAAAAATCAATTTATTGATATATTTTTCATAAAGACTTAAAGCATTTATGGTTAATACTCTAAATCTAACAATTTTCGGTATTTTAATCCGCATTACGAACTAAAACTGCACCTGATTCCTTCTTCAGCGAGCTAGATGATGTGTTTTGACGCTTATGTAAATTTCATATTGATTACGGTTTAGTCCAAAATGAGATTGCAATACTTTATATCCTTTTAATAGCCGCAAACGAATATTTAAACCTTGTCAATATACATAAATAAATGTATAAATAATTTAATTAATAAAGTTTGAAAAAGTTAAAAGTGAAATTGAATTTTTGTCGCTTCAAAACACATGTCAAAACACACGTCAAAGCCTTTAACGGACAGCCTTTATGCAMTAGTTRATTAAAACCCCCGTCCTCCGCACCCGGGGAATAGCGGAGAATTTAAGGTTGGAGTGGTGTTAAAATGTTTCCCTCGGTATTCGGGGGGTACATCCATTGTTAAAATCCCCGCTACTGTTGCACCGCTATTTTGGTCCGAGTAGTAATTTGACAGTTTTAGATTCACGTTTACTGCAAACGCCAAACGTCAAATTGGCTTTTATGCTTTGTCTCAAAATTTCAAACAAACGTAAAAACGCTTCGAAAGGAATAGTGATGTGCTTATGCACGAAAAAGTGATCTATTTTATACACAATCGCGAAAGGAGGGAGCGTTAATACAGAAAAACAGTGGTCACGTGATCAGTTTTGGCGTTCGCCGTAAACGCGTCATCTAAAACTCTCTAATAACAAAACGACCACCTTTCCATCAAAWTTTCTGTGAAAAACAGGCTTTAGTTTTTGGTCAATCCTGTGTACTCATTGGCGTAATACATGAGCCTAACTGGACGGAGAAAAAATGTGTAATRAGGTTCTTTAAAAAAAGTTTTCATGCAAGGAAAAATAAACAAACAAAAAACAGGATTAAAGACCAATGCTTTCAGGGTATTTCTCAATATGCTCGAGTTTCCAGCGCCCCGCTAGCCTCGGGGGGCGGGGGTTTCAATTGACTAGTGCATTAGACAGTTTTTGTATCAAAAGATTCCGCACTAAGATATGAGTCTGTATGTGTGTTAAAATATCAGAAGAGAGAGAAATTAGATGTCATGCTTGTTAAAGTACTCAGCAATATTTGCTGAATGCGGTGATTCGAGAGGGATTTCAGGACTTTTTTCCTATTTATCA